ATGTGCCCGCCTTGACCCGGGGAGCTGGCGCTGCCGTGGCCCCGTGGGAGCTGTCCGGTCGCTTCATTGCGCTTCACCACTCCAGGCGTCCCAAGAAGCCCACTTGTGCCACCAGGAGTTGGAACTGTCCAAAAGGCTAAATCAAACACCCTAAAACCTCATCAGACTGAAATAGTACTGAAACAAGTAGCAGAAGTCTCTGCAAGAGCCTACACTTTCTGGCTCCCGCTGCAAGGGAGCCTAGGCCGCCTGGCTTTCCTAGTGCACGTGAGTGGGAAGATGCCTGGCAGCTGCTGCTCTGATGTGCTTCAGAATGGACTACAGGACTGTAACTGCTCCCTTTCTTTAAAGTTTTCTGTAATGATAAACATCAGAGTCTCGTTTTTCATTTATTCTTGAAGGAGCTGAAGTTCTGTTTTCTGTGGACTGCACCAAGATGAAGGACTATTTTTTACCAGAAAAAAGAGGGTTTGATTGTATTTACTTCAACTTCCCTCACTGTGGAAGAAAGGCTGGGGTAGTGAAGAACAGAGAGCTTCTTGCCCGCTTTTTCCATAGGTGAGTAAACCAGAAGTAGTTCTATGCTAATTGACTGCTGTGATACAGATTTCTAGCTGTGTTACAGGTGTTTTTCTGGCCCAATAAAATTTCTGGGTGTGCTAGCAGGTTTTTTTCTCATTGTCCGGCTTTCCTTCCAGCTCCGCAGAAGTGCTGACAGAGGAGGGAGAGGTCAATGTGGCTCTTTGCAATGGACAGGGTGGGACACCTGCTGATCAGCCGAGGAGAGAATGGCACAACAGCTGGCAAATAGTGGCTGTGGCAGCAGGAGCTGGATTTATCTTGAGTAACGTTCATCCTTTTAAAGCAGAGACTATCCATGGATACAAGTGTACGGGCTACAGGTAACCATCATGTGGCAAAACGGAAAAGTTGATATTCGTTCTCCTATAATGCCTAGCACTCGAATGTTCTTTCAGTGTCTTGTTTGTTGGAGAAAGGAATGCCCTTAAAATAGCTACAGTTCTTTTTTGTCTCTAAGCAGAATAGCCAAGAAAAAAATGCAAGCTTCTTGTCGAAGTACCCTCTAAAAAATAAGATTATCTTAGTATTTTAAAGGTCAAAATGGTCTTTTTCAGAACAAATGTCAATCTCAGCCTAAAGACAGCAGGAGGACTGCGGTATGTGTATCTGCTTAGCAGACAATCACAGAATCGCAGCATGGTTGATGTTGGCAGGGACCTCCAGCACACATCTAGTCCTACCCCACAGCTCAAAGCAGAGCCAGCTAGAGCAAGTCGCTCAGAGCCACCTTCTGTCTCCAGGGATGGAGACTGTACAACCTTTCTGTGCAACTCATTCCAATGCTGGACCACCTGCCCACTAAAAATATGGTAGTGTTGTGTTTTTGTCACCTTGTAACGAGACTGGGGATTCAACAAGAACTGTTGTAGTGTTACACAGCATTATCTGAGTAATGCTTACTTGTGACACATTAAATACAGGAAATTATCAATGACTTTGCTCCACTTTTGTGTGTTCTCAGGAGTCAAGATAAATCTTTCTGTGTAGATGGTGCTTTAAACCACATTTTCACAAGAAGCATGCCACTTTCATGTTTCAAACCTATGATCTGCGAGATAGAGCTGGAAAGCCGAAAAGTTTCTTTTCAAGTACCAGAAGTACTAGTGGACAAAATTAATAGGTAAGTTTTATAATTGGTTTCTGTTTGGCGCTAACACGCACTCCTGCTCTCGGTGGGAAAGACCAGCATAGGTGTCAGATAAAATGGAAAGGCTTCACTTTCCCTCCCTTCCCCTTTAGAGAATTTCCTGTTCCATTGCTTCTTCAAGTCTTCTTCATGTTGGCTTGTGGTTATGGCCCACTTAAAAACAAGTCTACAGAACAAAAAGAAACTTTATGGTTGAGACCAAGCTGCTATATACTTGAATGCACAAATAAAGATGTTTTATTGTACTGTGGAAGAAA